CCACCGCGAGGATCGCGCCCGCTTCCTCCCCTTCTTTTACTCCCTCTTTGCCCGCGCACTCAAAAGTCCAGAGCTGCGGGCGCAGCGCAGCGCGGAGTCCCAGCGACGCGCGCAGGTCGCCCCGGAGGGGTCCCAGCGACGCGCGCGGGTCGCCCGCTGCGCGCAGCAAAGAGAGCTAGCTGGCTGGCTGATAGCGGGCAAGGCTCTTGCCGCTGGGCAGAGCGACGACGGGCGAGGGAGGCGCGGAACTCCGACGGCCTCCGACGGAGGTGTACTGGGTGGGGGAGACGCGTGCGGACTGCGCCACGGGGACCTTCGGTGGAGTTCCCTATGGGGCCACGAAACGCGTGAATGGTGTGCCGAAATGGGTATGCGGGACGAATGCGGGCACACCCACTCGGACCTTCGGTGGGGCTCCGTATGTGGCCACGAAACGTGTGAGGGGTGTGCCGAAATTGGTGTGCGGGACGCATGCGGGCACACCCACTGGGACCTTCGGCGGAGCTCCCCATGGGGCCACGAAACGTGTGAAGGGTGTGCCGAAATGGGTGTGCGGAACGCATGCGGGCACACCCACTGGGACCTTCGGTGGAGCGCCCTATGGGGCCACGAAACGTGTGAATGGTGTGCAAAAATGAATGTGCAGGACGCATGCGGGCACACCCACTGGGACCTTCGGTGGCGCTCCCTATGTGGCCACGAAACGTGTGAGGGGTGTGCCGAAATGGGCGTGCGAGACGCATGCGGGCACACCCACTGGCACCTTCGGTGGGGCTCCCTATGTGGCCACGAAACGTGTGAGGGGTGTCCCGAAATGGGCGTGCGGGACGCATGCGGGCACAACCACTGGGACCTTCGGTGGGGCTCCCTATGGGGCCACGAAGCGTGTGAGGGGTGTGCCGAAATGGGTGTGCGGGACGCATGCGGGCACACCCACTGGGACATTCGGTGGGGCTCCCGATGGGGCCACGAAACGTGTGAGGGGTATGCCGAAATGGGTGTGCGGGACGCATGTTGGCACACCCACTGGGACCTTCGGCGGAGCTCCCTATGGGGCCACGAAAGGTGTGAGGGGTGTGCCGAAATGGGTGTGCGGAGGAGGAGGGGGAGGAGGAGGAGGAGGAGAGGAGAGGAGACGCGGGCCACCGTCTCTTCAAAACGAGGACCCAACAACACAGGCTGGTTGGGAAAAAAGAAGGGGGAAACGCTGCCGGATCAGTCAGGGGCGCTCCCGGCGCGCCGCGAGGCGCCGCCGCGACGCCCCGCGCGCCACAAACACAAACACACACACACACACACACACACGGGTTCGGCGCTGGCTTCTGACACCGCGTGGACAGCTCAGCCTGGAACGAATCGGCAGCTTCCAGATCCCCAAATCTTTCCAGGCTGGCCGACTCTGGACCACTGGCGGCGTTCAACTGGGGCCCCTGAAAACGCGACCCGGAAGCAGCGAGATCCCAAAACTCCCGGCGACCACCGCTCGTCAAATGTGCATCCTAGCGCCGTTCCCCTCACCGAGATCAAATATGCGAGCTGTCTGCAGTGAGGTCCTCAAAAGGAGGAGGCGGCGCGCGCACGCAGCAGTCACACACTGCAAGATCGTGTCATGACGACTTCGGAGTCGGTTTCTGACACCACGTGGGTCGTTCAACCTTGAATCCACGGCGGCTCTCGGATCGACCAGCGACGCTCAAACTTCACCGCCGCGCCGGGGTCGCCGCCGCGTCGATACAACACGAACCTGCTGTACCCGAACATCCAGGAGAACTTCACAGGGGGAGGGCAAAAGCCAGGACTGGGGCGCGAGGGAGGCCGAGGAGCCAATGAGCCAGGAGCAATGGGCAAGGAAGAGAAGGAGGCATGAACAAAAAAACGAAGGAAAGAAGGAAGGAAGGGGGGGAGGAATGGTGGACCCCCGGAGATCTATGAAGGACCACCGTCGATCTGAAGCACAGGAATCGAAAGCGGGCCCCGATCATACTGGTGCGCGTTCTCGGGGGTAGCGCGAGGGGAGAGCTCCTCAGAAGGTAGCAGCCGTCTTAGAAGCCCTCCCGGCTTGTCAGAAGCCTCCTTGGAAACCTCCGAACCCTTCGACGACGGCCCCTGCCCTGTCAGAAGCACGCCGCTGTCTCAGAAGGCCGCCCCCCCCGCGCCACCCCGATTGTGCGCAACGCCAACGTGCCCGCGAGGTGACAGCGCCATGGGTGGGGGGGGGGGGACGCCCCGGGCCCACCAGCCGACGCGCGGAGCTGCCAGTGGGGCCCCGGTCTGGCTCCTGGCACGTTCTCGGCGGCCTGTACTGGAAAACGCCTCGCACCACGGTGCGCATGACGCTGCAGGCGTCGGTGTCGCTGAAGATGATGTCGCCAGTCTGGGGCAGGTCCTGGCCCAAGGCGTCGAACGCCATCTCCCGGATGAAGCGCGGGAAAACCAAATTCATGAAGCACAGGAACGGATGGCACGTGATGGACGGGGAGCGTATCTCCACGAGCAGTTCCTGCTGATGTTTTCCCCAAGCACTGCTTGCAATTACGAATATCACGTGCCTTCTAAATATGTTGCTGGTGGTTCCGGGTTTTGGACATGTGGGCTCCAGTGGCTCCCTCGTCGCCTTCGTGTACGGTGGCTGGCTGTTCAATATGTTCGGCCGATGTGCGTGGGTAGCCAACTCGTTGCCGCCTTATGCGATGGCTGGCGTTTCTGGTTGTTCGTCCAGTCGCCGCCTCGTGGCCGCCCCGTGACGTTTGCCAGTGCGCACAAATATCCCCACGCCTGCAACGTATCTGACCATACACCTTCCCATTCCGAGGCTGGACTTACCGCCTCCCCTCCGCGCACTGGAACTGCACAGATGCCGCATGATCGTGAAGCTTTCAACTCGTACCATGCAAGCCAAGCCGCTTATCAACCCCAGCCCCGTATCGCGAGGGGAGGGCAGGATGCTGATGGGGAGGAGGAGAGGGAGGAGGGGGAGGGGGAGGAGGAGGAGGAGGAGGAGGAGGAGGAGGAGGAGGAGGAGGAGGAGGACGAGCGGGAGGGATAATGATGAGGAGGAGGTGGAGGAGGAGGAGGAGGAGAAGGCCTGCTCTGCCCCTGCGAATCCCTGCCCACGACTCCGTGCATGTATTCTTGATGCCGTGTGGGCTATACGTGCGCAGGCGTGCCGCAGCGGACGCGCCCTCATATTTCAAGGCGGTGGTACTCCGGATCTCATAACAATAGGGGGGGGGTTCTGCTTCTGGGGGGGGGGTCTCACGGGCTTCGTCAAACACATTTGTGGGGGGGTCTCGATTTTGGACCCTTTGTTGCCTGTCTGGGGGGGGGTCTACTTCGGGCTGTCAAACACTTTTTTGACCCCCCCCCTTTATCATGAGATTTGGAGTATGTGAACACAAGACGCGCCCCCATGTTTCAAGGCGGTGGTACATCTGTCCGAAGTTCTGTGCGCGCGCACTTCCTCAGCGTCCTCATCCGGCGCAATCGGCGTCGTCATCGTCATCGTCATCGTCATCATTGCCATCGTCATCAGGTCATCAGCATCGCCGTCAAAGTCATCACCAGTGCCGTCGCCGTCGTCATCATCACCATCGCCGCCGCCATCGCCATCATCATTGTCACTGGCGCCGGCGTCGAAATCCACATCCGCCCGCCCGGGCCTCCGACCTGCACGAGAGAGGTCCTCGTGCCACTGCGTCAATGGAGTTGTGCCGACCCTCCGCGGGTGGCCGCGCGGCGTGTCTGCCCAGGCGTTGGGGTTCTCGGCGGGAAATTCCAGAGAACAGGTAGCACCCCGCATAGCGCACCACGCGAACTCACATTGTTCCATGCACATTTGCCACTCGCAAAGAAGGCCGAAGCCTAACTTTGCGAGCGGAGGGGAAGGACCGAAGAGCCAAACCGACCGAAGACGATCCATCTAAGCTGTTCAGTCCTGTGTCTCCGGTACCTGCGCCGAGAAGGGCAGCGGTAGAGAAGAGGAAGAGTAGGAGGGAAAGGGAATTCACACGCACCACCCGTTTCGAATCTCGCCCGAAGGCACGTCCCATGACGATGCCGACGGCCAAGAGCTTCGGGTTAGAGGTGCGGGCCACATCTCACTTCTCAAACTCACCGCTCTGTAATGCCCCTAGCGGCAAGGAAAGCGAGAAAGGACCTGCCAAGTACCCATAACCCTTACCAGGGGCCGTTAGCCCCCCCTGGCGCACGCCCTTAAAATCGCCTCGGGCGCGCAGGGAAGCCAAGGGATGGGGAGCAAGAAGGATGAGCAAACAAGACTGGCAAATGTGGCGGGTAGCACTGCGGACGGCCAAACGGCGTCAGCGGCGCAGGTGTCGACGCCAGCGAGAACGAGTAGACCATTTGGATAATTCGTGAAATGCTTACATGCCAGACGGAGGCAGGCACCCCGCTCAACATTAAGCATGATAGATTGTTCTAGAAATCATAGAATTCAAAGTGTCGCGCAGTACGTATCCTGAAACATCGAAGACATGTCTTGGTGTCTGCGGCAAAGAAACGCCCGCATAACAGTGTGGCATAAACGATTACTGGCGAAGCATAGTCGTCATGAAAACACTGGGTTGTCGCTTTTTTACGCGCACCATGACCCGCCACAATGTTGGTAACATGCAGGATGTAAACGCATTGTCCACGACACTGCTGTCTCTTGAGCCCTCGGAGAGGACGCCTCGCAAACACGAATAACAACGGCCCGCGCGCAGAGGCAGCTGGGCCCCCATCCCGACGCGGCCGCAGCGGACTTCGGAAAGCGCGAGGGCCAAGCGAACAACATGAGCGTGCAGAGTCGTCTGATATTTGCCCAACCACATGTCTAACGACTGTTTAACCAATTATTTTGGGGAGACAATTAAAAGATGGTTTTCCCCAGCGCTGTAGTGCGCCTGTAGAAAGCCAAAGAGAGGCGGGGCAAACTGGATCGCTGGAGACGTCCCCGCGACCGCCCTGTGCCCTGCGTGCAGGGGCAGATTCCTGCGCACCACCTCTTGGCGTCAGGCCACGCCTGCCACGCCTTGCGACCCCAGCGTGGATAGAGACTGCGCTCAGGAACCACTCCCTGCGCACCGCGCACCCTGTCTGGGTTGTGAACAAGCCACACCTGACACGCCCGAGCCTGGCGTGGAAAGAGACCGCACTTGGGTACCATCCCTTGCGCACGCCCTCTGGTGCCGAGAGGGCCATAAGTGCTTTGAGATGGCCTCCAAGATGGCGCAATATGGTCCAAATTGGCTCAAGATGGCCTCATCAGACCGGCGACGTGTGATGAAAATATTATGCAACAGGACAGGAGAGGGGCTAGACCAGGTTACGACGAAGGCCGGATTGGCCTGCAGGCCAGAAAGGCCCTCAGCAAGCCGCTCAGTTCGAGGCCGCACCAATGCTACACCAGGTTACAGCGAAGGTCGCACCGCCCTCTGGGCCAAATTTGCGGGGCTACACCAGGATACGATGAAGGCCGTCCCCCCTCTGGGCCACGCAAGCGGGGCTACACCAGGTTACAACGAGGGCCAGCGCGCCCTCCAGGCTAGACATAAGGGGCTACACCAAGCTACAATGTCACATCGGCATTCTCCCTGGTACCGAGGTGTATACAAGTGGCATCGATTGGCATCCATGGATTTGTTCCAGGGGGGGCAAATAAAACATAGTTCTTCGGATGCGAATGAATGGCAGTCGGGATCCAGGAGGGGGTCATCGTATTTTAACCGGTTTTGGACATTCATTGAAAAGGAGTGTAAGACAATGTGTAATCGCACTTGGAAAGCAATGACCTTAATATATTGAGGGGGTAATTAAAGAAATCATGCGTGATGTATGTTGTTTGATCACGATTCAAAGGGCTGGGGCCTGCCAGCGGGGTCGCGCCGCGCTGCGCGAGCGCCCGACCGTCTTGCCGCGTGCGGAGTCCTTGCGGCCCGTTGAGAGACGGCAGCACGCGGCGCCGGAGGCGCCGGAGGCATGCCATCACGGGTAGGAGGCGCGCTGGTAGGGCGCGGCATCGAACGCTGTGGATGATCGAGATCGGCCCTTTGCCCCCTCCCTTCTGTCTCAGGTGCGTTACAAGGACGAGCCTGAGCAGCGTCTTCGGGACCTGGCGGGGACACGCTGGCGACGGGAAGTGGATCGGTCAGGCGATGATTGAAGGGGCCCGGAGACGCACAAATAAATACACACAAATAAAAGGATTCCCCACATTTTCCTATATTTTCTGGGTTTTTGTCTTCCCCCCCACTTCCCGTATTTTCCCATATTTTCTTTGGAATCGACGATTAATTGTGTCTGTGTGTTTTTTCCCCTCCTGAATGATCGAGGCCTGGATCGGACGAGCGATCGCGCGCCAATCGGCGATCGGAGTCCCAATCGATCGCGCCGCCGTCAGAGAGGGGCGGATCGGGGGAGGGGAAGCTCCTCCACCACGCCCGCCCGACGAAGTTCTTCGCTGGCCAACTTTGAAGGGGCCCCAGGACACACAAATAAATACACACAAATAAAAATATTCACCATATTTTCCTATATTTTCTGGGTTTCTGTCTTCCCCCCCACTTCCCATATTTTCCTATATTTTCCGGGGGATCGACGATTAATTGTGTCTGTGTGTTTTTTCCCATCCTGAAACTTGACCGACCACGAAAGCAACGCAGCTGTGGGGGGCAGGAGCAATCTGGCCGCGGAGAACACGAATGCCTCTCAAGCCTGGGGGGCCCCGCAAAACGAAAAAGAGCCCTGTGGACGGGAGGGGGGCGCCGAATAGTTACGGGGCTCAGGCGCGGGGATTTCCCCGTCAAGGTCGAATCAGGAGAGCCCCGGAATCCGCGCCGCGAAGGCAGAGGGGGCGTGTCTCTCTATCGACGGCGGTGCCCCCCAAGATTCGGCGGAGACGTCGATGAGACAATGCCCACTGGAACCGCGAGGGTGAGATCACCCTCGGTGGCGGTCTTTGCTGCAGAGCCGCTGTCTAGAACCGAGAACCTGGCCATGGCGAGCGGGCTCCTGCTCCGCCTGCAAGATATTCCCTGCCGGGTCTTGTCCGGATCGTCCCGGGGGGATTCTCGTGCTAGGTCGGCTCAAGGCCCCGCGACGGCCGAGATTCCTCCTGCCGGGTCGACTCCGGAGGATCCTGCGGAAGCGCGGATTTCTCCTGCCGGGTCAACTCCGGAGGGGCCCGCGGAAACGGGTGGCCCCCCAGATTGCGACGGTCGCGCTTCGCGGAGAGCGCAGAGGGCGAATTCGTAGAGGTTGACTCCGCAGGAAGACCCGCGGGCGTTGCCACCGGTTGCCGAGGCGAGACTTGGGGGGGCGACGACGACGATGACGATGACGTCGACTTGGCCACTGCAGGAGCAGCGACGATACTCTCGTCGCGAAGTAGCGGGTGTAAGGCGCATGCGGCGCGCAGAGGCCCCAGTAACTCAATCTTTGAACCGTGCAACAATCGGGGCCTGACCTCGGGGCCGAAGACGTCACTGGCGCGGCCGTCGT